CAAGCCCTATCGCATTGACTAGACTTTCAATGGGCTGCCGCATGTGAGGTGAAGAGCAGCGAGTCGGCAAGTCTGGAAAAGGCGGCCAGGTTGCAAAGCCACCTAGGAGTTGGCAAGGCTGCGGCTGTGGAGGCGGACCCTGCATTTGAAATGCAATAGGTTTCTTTGCCATTCGGTTTGATGCCTTCGTGTTCATCAAGAGTGCATTCTTGCGACACATTTTTTCAACGGCAAGGCCCTTCCTCTCCGAAGCGGTTCACCTGAGTGGTGCCATGTCTGCACTGCTGGTCGTGTGATTTCCGGCTGACAAGCCGCTGCCCGACATGAACAACAGAGGTCAAGAAGCCGGCTTGCAGCCTCTTGGCCGAGTTGTTTTCTTTCTTGACTGGCATTGAAAGTCACACTGTGGCATCACATAGTGCTGAATTTGATTGTACGTTTGAAGCCAGTTTGGCTTTGAGAAGGACGTTCGGAAACAAAAACACAAACAAACCATTCTACGTCTCAAGTTAGCGTTTGATGACAATCAACGCAGAGCTTGAGGCAATTGGTTCACACACATTTAAATAAAATACACACACACACACATATGTGTATGTATGTATGTATGTATGTATGTAGGTATATGCAACACATAAGTTCAGTGGTGTGTGGTTTTCTTCAAGCTGAATTTGCAAAGCTGCGGCCTTAGCTTTGAGGGGTGTTTTTGGAACACTGCCCACTCTTGTCTCTTTTCTTCTATTTCTCCTACTAGTTTGTTTCGGGGGTTGTGAGATCATTGATAAGGCAGCAATGCATGGACTCCTTCGTCGAAAGCTCAGAAGCCATGCCCTTTGAGCTGTGAGAACCTTCCCAGAAGCTCAGGACAAAATCATTTTGCCACATCGCTGAAGCCTTAGATGCCACCAAAGACATACGTGGCGTCGCCTTCCTCCTTGCTCCAGGTTTGCAAATCCTACAACGGCAAGCTATGGTGGATTGATGAGTCTGGGCGTGCAAGACCTCATCTTGCGCAGGTGATGTGTTTGTACTTTTTAGGTCAGGGCTATGTCCCTCCAGGGCAGTTTGAGGACACAGAACGGTTGGCATGCGGGAAACATGCCGCTGAAGTGCAACCGAAGCTTTTCAGGACCTCTTGAATTTGATCCGTCAAGCCTCAGTCAGCTCCACAAACCAATTCTGCAAGGGAAGCAGCAAGTACAAGCAAAGTTGGATGCTTGTGAGGCGGCATCTGAGCGCGCGATGAATGCGGCAAAGTATGCTGAGATGGCAGCTTCTGCAGCGGCAAGCTCAAGCTGCATGAGGAATTGTGAGACCCATAGGGAATAACGACAGCAGGCCAAATTCCATAATAAGGAAAAAACAGAAATGTTGTGAGTTTGTCCAGGCCGGAGCAGCTGGGCAGCAAGCGGTAGTCCAGAGCTCAGACTATTACTTTCCACACGGACTTTTTCCAATCTCTTTTGCCAGGTGAGAGCTATGCATATGGCAAATGCGCCTGGTGCACCAACAGCGGCACCCTTCTCTCCTGGATCTCCAGATCCTGGAGTAGGCCAACAGCTTGTAGAATGCATTGATTGCCTGTATCTCACTTGTTGGCATTGTATGCAATGAAACCCTGCAAGCCACGCAGTCAGGCTCTGTTCCGCTCATGCAACTAGCAACTAGTACAGTGCCAGTGCCCACCTTTCGGGAAACCGACGGATCCGTTTGGCCCTTTAGCCGATCGGTGTGGCTGCGATGAGCGCCATGGATGTTGATGAATCTGGGGCTGAGGCTCCGCCAGAAGCTATGGAGGACATACCACCTCCGCCTCCCCCTGCAGGACCGAGTGCGCGCAGAGCACGAGTTCAGCTGCCGGAACACCATGAAGATGAGGGTCCAACCTACTACAGACTTGGTGTTGACTATCCCGTCGACCCGGACGACGATGAAGTTCTTCATCAGTGTGCCCGAATCAAGATTCTCAGGCTGAATTGGGAGCTGCTTGTCATTGGAATTTGATTGCCTTTCACCTTGGACAGTTCTTTGAGTGCCTAAAAGCTGAGGAAACTGGAGAGCCTCGAGGTTGTGGGTCCGAGCTTTGGCTTTTAATTAGGACAACTCAGTTCTTTCCTTGGCTGTCGCGTGGTCGCGACATTTGTGGTGAGTGACACAGCCCACGTGAATCGGTTGCTAAGGAAGCTTCGGAAGCTGTGTGCCTCGGGTCCAAGTGGGTCAACGGTTTGCGCGGCCTACGAATGGCTAAACTCCTGGAATCCAGTAACGCAATGAATATTTAGCCCTCTTCAGTCCGATACACTGTAAAAGGGAAACACCGTGAAGTGCAACATGATGTTGTGACATGTGAAGTGATTCAGTGTGATGGGTGATGCTGTGAGGTCGTCGTGTTGCTGATGCAATGTTTCACGATTTTTGTGGTCTAGTGAGGTGTTTGTTTGGTGATGTTCAGTGTTTTTCTGTGCTCTTCGCTTTGAAATTTCCACGGCCGTTGTAGACATCTCCAATTCTTTAGAACTCTCGACTTCCATAATCTTTCGTTTACTTCCGCCTTCCCTTTCTCTAGAACTCTGCGCCGCTTTTTGTGCTTTGCTCGGGACTTGCACAACCGTGGCAATGTGGTGTCAAACTGCGACTTGCCAGCCCCAATGTAAGTGCCACTGAAAAGAAGTCTAGTGCAAACCCCACAATGCACTACAGAAATTGTTGAATCCTTCCAGACATCGCCAACCTGTCGCAGCAATGACAATAAGTTGTGAACATCTCAGTGGCAGGCCGCACAACCAGCTCGCCATGAGAGGGTCCGCAGTGGCAGCAACCTCACGCAACAAGACCTTGAAGATATCGCGCTACCCCCTTGTGCCGCACATATGTGTATATATATAGATATATGCATATGTAATCATATGTATATATATATATACGCCCTATAAGTCGGAACTGCCTTATTGAAGCGTCCTTTGATGCGGGCCCCTGTTCCCTTCCCAAAACAGGCGTTCCAGGATAAGGTTGAAAGTCTGGGAACCTCTAAGCTCTGTAAATGCCTTTGGGCATCAATTCTCTTTAAGCCAAATCAGGGAGGACTTTTTCAACAGTAGCAGAGAACTTACCGCATTTCGGGTGCTTGGCTTGAGCCTTTTGTACAATGCGGCCAAATGCGACCAGTTGTGATCCACATCCACAAGTTCCTGCATGGATACTCTGTGTGATGCAGAGCCAGTGTAATAAGCCCAAGCAACATCCCCAACAGCTAGAAACATCTTGCGGGTGCTGAAAAACTATGTCACAACCATCAAGCTTCATGCTGACGCATAGCCTACCTTTTCCCGGCGGGCTCCCGTCCAAAGATTCCAGGAAACCAACCAACATCACCTCAATCATTGCTGCAATGCTGCGGAACGTCATTTGGTCGCCAAGGAAACAAATACAAACTAAACAATGTCACAAAAGTTCTTGTATGGTTCGAGTAGAAGTTTGAAACTGCTCTGGAACCTGCTCCGGATCCGCTCCGGAACCTCCTCCAGAACCTCCTCCAAACCTGCTCCGGAACTTGCTCCGGAACCTTCGCCTGCTCCTCGGAACCTCCTCCGGAACCTGCTGCGGAACCCCTCCGGAACCGGTCCGGAACCTGCTCCGGAACCCGCTCTGGAGCTTGCTCCGACCTGCTCCGAAGTCTATACTATGGCTGAAGACCCCTAAAGCTTCTCTTCTGGGGAGAAAGGATTGCCAAACAGACAGCGCATTGCAGGATCAGCATGTGTTTTCTCACGACTCCTGTGGGTTAAGGCTTGGTGGCAAACTGTGTCGAGAAGATTGAAAACCTTGAGACCAATGTGAACTTGGAACACTTGGAGTGCCTCGTCAGCCTTCTTTTTTTCTCCTCTTCCCTCCCCACTGAACAGGCACAGCCATACCAGAGTGGGGACAGTGAGTTTTGCAACCTTTGTGTGCAGCAGGCTGTATCAGAACCTGTTGAAGAAGATTGAGAACATCTCGCACTTGCACAACCTTATGGTACTGGACTTGTCATTCAACAAAATCCGCAGCATGGAGACGCTGGCAGCCTGCAGCTTCCCCCGGCTGGATAGATTATATTTGTCCAGTAACAAGATCACAGACATTGAGGGCATCTGGCAATTCACCAACCTGAAGATGCTTGAACTGGGGTCGAATAGAATTCGTGCTGTGCCTCCAGAAATTGCTTCTTTGGTTCACTTGGAAGAATTGTGGCTGGGGAAAAACAAGATTATATCAATGACAATACCACCATTGCCAGCACTTAGACATTTGAGCCTTCAGAACAATCGCCTGGAAGTGTGGGAGCCAGCTTTCTTCCAGAATCTCTCCGGGCTCACACACCTGTATTTAGGGCACAACAACCTGCCCGACCTTCCTGAAGAGTTTGCACTATTGGCCGGTTTGGTTGAGGTTGACCTTGTCAGGAATGCAATCACTCAAATCAAGCCAATTCCTGAGCTCCGGAAGCTTGAGGAGCTGTGGATGAATGACAACAAGATCGAAGATTTGGGGCAAATAGCTAACTTGTCAGCATTCCCATCCTTGAAAACCATCTATTTGGAGCGCAATCCAATGCAGGATTTAGGAAACAAGGAGGCTGAGCAGCGCTATCAGGAGGCCATTCTTCAAGCGGTGCCCCACATCCAGCAGATAGATGCGGAGCGTGTAAATTTCGAGATCAAGGTCATCACTGATGGAACCGAGCGGCACGTGATGGGCATCAGGCGTAGTTGAAGTTTCACGCCGTTGGTCGGCAAAAGCGAAGTTTCATGTGTCAGGTGTTTGCCAAAAGGCCGTAGGGTTTCTTCGCTTCTTTGCCTGCTTTCATCTCATGACTCATAACAGTTTAACACTTCAGCCGGCTTGAAGCACCAGTCGCAGAGTGCTGCGTTTGGGCTAAAGCAGCTTTGCGTCAAGCTGTCAGTTTGGGCTTCATCAATACTTGTCATATCAGTTCAATTACTTCACTGCTGGTGTGGTTCAGGTCACATTGTAGTTGTCCATTCATGAGCGGTTCAACGTAAGTTTGCCATGCTGAAGTTTGATTCTCTCACGTACTTTGCCTGTTGCCCCATTGCTTCTAGCATGCGGACTGCAATGCAATGCATTCACTCAAAGCATTCGCCCAATCAACTCTTGGGGAGCTAAAGGATGCACTTGTGGATGCAGTTGGGGATGATGACGAGGAGGAGGAGGAGCCGCAAGCGCCTGAGCTCATGCCAGTTCCCCCACGAGAACCTCAGCTTGGGCCTCCACAGACAGAGACATCCACCAAAGATGAGTCTGCAAAGATGGAGTTCCAGGCTGTCCAACAAAGCCCTTTGTTGGACAAGGTCTTGAGCAAACTAAACATCAATGCAGAGAAAAGTGAGAAATGGCAGTCCCAGTTGTCTGTGCCAGACATTGCAACCTTGTCATGCTGGACGTTGAGACAGCTTTTGCCATTGGTGACGGCACTAGACACGAATGGCACACCGAGTGAGACTCAGCGGCTTTTGACATCGTTCAGTGATCGATACGAGACGCTTTTGAGTGAACATGCTGCTTTGCAGGGCAAAGCTCGTGAGTTATCGGGTGCCAATGCAGCATTAGCACAGTCAGCTCAACAAGCTTCATCTTGGAAAAGCGCTCATGGAGCTGCAATTGCACGCTTGGAGGAGCTGTCTTCGGAAAATGCCGAATTGAAAGAGAGGATTAAGGCATTGAGACACCAAGGCCTTGACTTGGAACAACACCAGGAGCTCTTGCAGAAGCTGGCGCAGAAGGACGCAGAGCTTCTTGCCTCAACGCAAGCCATGGAGAGGCTTCAGGAAGTGGTAGATGATCAGAGCACATTGATGACCAAGTGTGTGCAGTTAGAACATGACTTGGAAGCAGCCAAGGCGGCCAAGGTGCAAGCTGTGTCGCTGGAAGGTGCTTCACCTGCACAAGCACCAGGTGACAGAGAGAAGGAGGAGACCCAGCGCTATGAGCATTTGCTTGTCAGATGCCAGAATGCAGAAAGGGAGCTGAGTGAAACAAATGCGGCCCTTGAAATCCTGCTGGAAGAAAAGTCAAAGAGACTTGAAGACCAGGAGCATTTGGTGGACCGGAGGCTTGTCACATCCATGCTGGCCCTTTATCATGATCATGTTTCTTCAGGACAGAGAGGTTTGGCTGACTTGGTATTGACGCAAGTACTCCACATTTTAGGTGGGGCCCCTGAAGAGACACAGAGAAGCCAGGTCAAGGCTGCAGCCGCCGCAGCTGAAGCACGTTTAGCCGAACCTTTGAGCAATGCTTTCCTAGATTTTCTGGAGAAAGAGACCAAGGAGTCACACAAGGAGGCAGTGCATGCGGACGTGGCACAGCCCTCGCAGCTTCCACCATCAGTGCCTCCTGGGGTGCCACTTCCACTACAAAAGTAGGCCCTATCAAGATCGTTTCATTTCTTTGCGTCTCACGTGAAGGAGTGTGTGCAACTTCAGTGGCCCCCGCTCGCGAAGCAAATGCAGACATGAGCTGTATGTTAAGTCGGACCGAGTGCTTTGCCTTTTGGTGGCATGCGGGCAATTGAGTAGGTGAGTAGGCTTGTGTTGCATGTGCACGCTAAAAGCTGCCCACCCAAACGCCATGACACCGAAACAGTAACACAACTTCACTTGCAGGCATTGGTGTCGCCTGCATGCCCGCGGAACTGGGCCACACGCCCAGCTACAAACCAGGTCGCAAGGGGATTTCGGCTAGACTGCCCCACAGCAGAAAGAAAGAGGCTCAATCAAGAACCATGCTCAATGCATTGCGACTGACATCGCTGGAACTAAGGCTTGCTCCATGCATTTCTTCCTGAAGGCATTTTGGTCCCATGATGTTGGTTTTGCAATGACATATTGATGGCATCACCTTTGGCCCTTTAGTATGAAAACGAAGGTTTTGCATTTTGTGGGCACATCCCTGGTTGTTCAGGCCAAGCTTTCTCGAGAAGGTCGATGGGCTCGGAAGCGGTGTGTGTGTGTGTGCGTGTGCGCGTGCGCGTGTGCGTGTGCGTGTGGGTGTGTGTGTGTGTGTGTGTCCACCCCTGGACAAAGGGTCTTCCAACACTTTTCCTCACAGGCAGGGGGCAGCAGGGAATCCACAGTTCTGCTGCCAACGAAGACAGCTGTGGACATTCCGTGAAGCAGATTGGGACGCCAATCTGTGTACCTGCCTTGATTGCAAGCTGTGACACCAATTTTCTTCTGGTTTGTTTTCATGGTCCTTGCATGATACCTCCCCCCAAACCTTTTCTTGCAGCCGCGTTGTCTTGCAGCTGAGCCGCGCCGATCGATCGTTCTGCAGACTGACCAACAACTTGTTGAAACACCTACAAGTCTTTCAGACTCTCCACCATGCAGTTCCATCACCTTCCTTCCCATCGGAGAAATTGAGTTTAACTGAAAACCAGTGTCAGAGTGTGTCCCGCTCAGCCGTCCCACTCGGGTGCTGAGTGTGATCCCCGTCACAGGGGCGCCGATTTTGCATGGGAAAGCAACCACCACAACGCACCACCACTCACTGGACTCTCACAGGAAGTCACCGACACCCTCACCGAATCAACTGACATACTGGCCGCCGGGCCAAAAAACGGTTCTTGCAGAATACATCGGATATCAGCTTTCAGATTTCGGATCCGTCATGTTCACTTCTCCAAGTCATGTTTGTTTTTTCCACGTTTTGCCATATCAATGCCGTGACTTTTTCCTCAGCAGAACTCAAGTTTGGGCATTAGAGCTCTTCAATCTAATTCGAGATGCATGAACACACACCTGCCAACAAGCTCACCTCTAGCACCACCTTACAACATACTCTCCATCAACACCAGAGATGAGACTTTCAACAACATCATGACAATACAACTCGGCACTTTTCCGCTGCATTTTTGCTGCTGCGCCGCGCCGTGCCATAGCTACGACTACGACATGCATTTTCCGTGGCCATACGCTCACGCCACGCCACCACCACTACCTACCACACAACCTCAACCCACATGGCCGCTGCCACAGCCGTCAACTGCACCCACCTTTCCCTCGCCACAACCATCGGCATACCCTCACCCACAACCACAACCATTTCAACCACCACCTTTTTTGTCCAGTCCGACCGCCACTGCACTGACCTACGGCACACCGTCCACTTGGACGTTTGTGCAACCATCTCACCTGCCACCGCAGCCCACACATCCAACTCCAGTATTTCCGTCAGCAGCACCTCCCCCTTCCTACCTGTTGCCACCACTACATCCCACACCACCGGCTGAACTTCCTCCCCCCACTACACTGACACACCCCCTTCCAACACAGCAACAGACCGCGGTTGCCAATCACCCATCCACAGACCCACAATGCGCCATCCCCCAGGGCGTTTGGCAACCCTACTCAGCCTTTCCCCCAGTCACACAACCTCCACCCCAACCATTGCCCCCGCCGCCCCCTCCACAAACCATCAGCGCTTCACCACCAGTCCAGCCTCCACTCCCACAACAGACGCCATCAGACCCAACACCACCAATCCAACACATCCCCACAACCGCCACGGACCCTCCATTGCCGGTCCAAAGCACGACCCCTCCAGCTACTGCATCCCAACCTTCCGCATCACCATCCCTTACATCAGCCACACCAGCTCCTGGACCTTCACTACCTGCAACGGACAAGCTTGACACCACCGCCTCACCAGCACCACAACCACCTTCCCCACAGCCACCACACAGCAGTCGCCGCCACCACCACAAGAGCCGACGCAAGTCCGACCATCACCGCCGAGGACGCCACCACCACCGCCGCCGACATCGACATCACCACCACTCCAAGCACCACAGCGCAACCCGGCGACGCCGTTCACCCTCGACATCCACTTACACATCCAGCCTTACACCATCCCGCAGTCGCTCACCACCACAACCCATCGATTTACGCCCCAACACTGAACACACCAACCCAGACCCCTCTCAATTTCCCACCACAGCCGTCCTTCGTCGCCCAATCAACCGTTGGCGACCTCCACCCAACTTTCACACCTTTTCACCTGCAGACCAACTCCTGGAATGGCTTGAATTCCACGCCACCCAACTCGACAACCCCAACCGACCACAGCACCAGTACATTGCCAATCTCCTCACAGACTGCAACATCACCTACAAGGAGATCACCGATTTCCGGCAATATACTCACGCCAGGTGGAACGACACAACTCACCAATACGACCAATTCCAATACTACGCCATTTCGCTTCCTTTCCTCAACACAAAAGCCACCACACCAGAACCGCCCGCGGTTTCCCGAGCCACATCAACCCACCGGGAAGTCGCCCACATCAACGCAGGCCATACAGGCCCCGTCGGCAACATTGCCAACATTCTACGCCAAGGTCGATTTTTACCCAGCACACTTCACTTTGCCAACTACCCTGGATTTTTTGCCCAGGGTGTCCGCATCACCCACAATCAACCCCATGATCACAACGAATTTGCCCGCATCATCCACAACACCTGGCAACTCCACAAGAACTCCCATTCCCTGATCATCACACTCCTTGCTTGGGGTGCCGCCACAAAATATACCTCCGGAGGTGAAGAACATGCCATGAACCTCCTCAATGATTACCACGGCGCAGTCTTCCACCAGAAGGGCCGCTGCTGGGTGATCCACCCGGACCATGCCATTGTCAAAGGACTGGCCTGGTCCACAAACTCCACTCCACCAGACACATAACACCACTGTCCAACACCTCCACACCACTACCACCTCTACCTCCACCTTTTGTCTCACACCACCACATAACCTTTGCTTATAGCAGCCAAAAAGAGCCTCCTGCAGCGGCCACGCGAATTCTGAATCCTCAATTTTTCAAGCTTTGCAGGTTTTGCTTTAAACATCTTTTTCCGAATCGTACCAGCTGTTTTGATGGAGTATTTCACTTGTCAGAGTTTCATGCACTTGATTCAGTGAGGTTTCGGTTCGGTTGGAATCGGTTTGAATGTTTAATTGAATCTTCGAATCGGTTCGGTTTGGTTGAGGAAGCTTTTGTTCATGCATTTTCGGTTCGGTTCACGGTTCGTTTCGGTTCGGTAAGGGATAAGTTACCCTGTGAGACAAGACAAGAAATAGATAAGACAAACAAGACCAGAGAAGACAAAACAAGACATGATGTGATGTGACATGTCATAGCAAATCAAGATCTACTTGGTAGATTTCCTGTCCAATATGCTTTCTAGACCGCCTGGAAAAAGCATATTCACAAACAGCTGTCTTTTCCTCAGCTTCTCATGGCTCAGAGGTTGTCTTGACTTACTTGTTGTCGACACGATGTCCCTCATGGTGCCTTCGTACATGATGCCAGAGCAGCTGCGCTTGGCTCGTGTGCAGCTTTGTGTGGGGCTGTTCCTGTTCAGACCTGCAGCGTTCAGCCCTGCAGCAGCGCAACCGCACGAGCAAGCAGAGCGGAAGAGCGGAAGACCTCGTAAGGGCACAGCTGTGGCTGTGCAGGGCACAGGCAAAAGTGGCCAGTGTCGTCAGGTGGGGGTTGAATATGCTTTTTTCTGCTTGATGCAAATGCATATTTGGCTGCCTAAAGTCCTAAAGGTGTTTATGATGGGCCGCCTTCTGTTCTGAGTGCTTAAATGCTTTTTGCGAATCGGAAAAAATGCATTTTGGAGTTGCCCTGCACATGGCGCAGGCGGACCAGCAGATTCAATATTTGCAGAGCCGCCCTGATGTTGCTTGCTTGACGAAGACTTCCATGTGTCGCTTGACCAAAGAGATCTTGCAGACCATCGTCAAGGAGCGCAACAGTCAGAGAGACCCATGGCTTCCGCGCAAGGAAAACTCCTTGGCTGAGCTCAAGATCTCCGCGGCAGCTCTAGCCGTCCTCTCTCATGCCGCTGAAGCATACGTGGTTCAGAGGCTGGTGCAGGGCAATGTGCTCGCCGCTCACCGTGGGAAGAAGACTTTGACTGAGAAAGACCTTCAAACTCTGCAGACAGTGGAGGAGGTTGCGGCTGGCCATGTTTGCAAGAAGCCGAGAACACAGTGAGGGCGGTTTTTGGGTCGATGGCCTAGGGTGTCAATGCTACGCATTGTTGTAGGGATTTGTGTCAAGATGATGCTCTTGAGCTTGAAAATGTGCTAGATTGCATTTGTAGTGAGCACGCTTCTTGAGCTTCTTGAGCTTTGTCAGTGTGTACGCTTCTTGTCAGACATGCTAGACTGCATTGTAGTTGTGTCGAAGGGATGCATTTTTTCAATATGCTTTTTGCAGCAGTTGGTAAATGCACATTGCACATTCCAAGCCTTGCGTTAGCCTTACTAGACTTGTGATGCTTGGTTACTTACATTTGGTTGCACGGACTAGAGGAACATGAACACTCTTGCGCCGTTGATTTTAGGAGCTCGAGAGCTGTCCAGTAATGTAGATGTTTTTTGACCCCATGTGCTACAAATGCCTGCTGCCGCAGAAAGAAGCTGGGTGCACAGGGAATTCTGGCCGGCAAGACCAGGAGTGCCTGTGCGGTTTTGTAGAAGGTGCAACGCAGTTGAGCCAAGTCTAGAAGAAGTACAGAATGTGATCGATCGTGGTGGCAAACCACGCCGACACTGGAAAGGAGCTTGCGGCTTCGCCAGCACCAGTGCCATGGTGAACCACATGCGAGACTGCCATGAAGATGCTCTACCAGAAACGGTTTCCACCGAGAGGAGCACACCTTCAAAAAGCGCCAAGAAGGTCGACCTGCAACTGATGAGAGAGTGGGTGATCTACTTGGTGCTAGGCTGCCTGCTTCCTTTTCGTCTTGTGCACAATCGCTATGTCAAGGCTTTTTTGTCCCCTCGCTTGCCGGGCCTTGGTGGGAAGCATGCCTTGGATTTGGAATTCAAAGCTGTCATGCAAGACTTGCGAGAGAAGGTTTTGTCGATGATCCGGGCAGCACGAGACAGCGGCTGTCGCTTTACCCTATCGGCTGACACCTGGAAACCCAAAATGAAGAGGCGAAAACATTATTTGGCGTGCCACTTAGATTGGACACAAAAAGACTGGAGCCACACTAGCGTGTGCATCTATGTCGGTGTGGCAGAAGCACCGCGGACAGGCGAAAGTTGACAGGTTGGGTGTCTGTTTTGGCCCCTGTGCGGGGCCCCGGCGTGGCGAGTGCCTGG